AAATCTGGATTAAAAACATAAGTCTTCATAACAAAGCCCGGCGATATCAGGGTTGCATTGGAAATCTTTCATGGCTTTATTGATCTCTTCCTTTATGTTGACCTTTACCTCTTCCCTTGCCCTCCACTCCTTTTCTTATTCCTCGTGATGGTCCATATCAAAACCGTGCACATCGTGCTCGGCAGGGACGGGAATTTGGAAAGTGGCTCTCTTTGGTAAGGGTGGAGCTACAGAGGGACTCTGAGTATTTTGAGTGGTTTAATAATTCTGTGGGTACGTCTGAGGATTGGTATTCTGATTTAAGTGGTGGTGGGATGTTTGTGGGTTAAAAGTATTTTGATTTAGATTTTTGTTTTGATTTTGTGGTGGAGGAGCAGTTTGATGGTGGATGTTTTGAGGATGGGGTGGTATTTGGGGATGGTTGTTTTGAGGAGGAGGTGGAGTTTGGTAGAATGCATAAGCATATTTGGGATTTTGGGTGGTCAGATCTATAAGCGACGGATTTTAAGCAGGTGTAGATCATTGGTTTCTGAGCTGGATCCATATTTGAAGAAGGGAAGTAGATTGGGGGCCTCCTATCAGCAGCGTTAGGAAAAAATCCTGGTGGAAGTAGATCCCGTCTCCTTTGCATTTCTACTCTCATCTCTGCAATCTATTGCATCAGTTGTAGAATCAATTCATTCTGGTCCGCTATGGTGGGTTGAACCACCACAACATCAGTAAGACTCACTTCTTCGTTATTATCCCCCATAACAGCCTTTTCTTTGTTTGAGTTTTGTCTACGGAAGGAATCTGCGAGACCTTTTGATCTGGTGAAATAGGGATGATCTACCAGCTTTTGATCGACACAGATCAGCTTCAAAGTACATTAGAAGGAAAACAACTCAAAGGAAAATTTTTCAGTGCAGATTCAGAGTACAAAATGCCTAATATCACACAGAGAACAGATAAACACACAAGTTGCTTTGTTTAAGGATATCTTCAACTTGCGAGTGAAGACGGAAACACATTTTTTAACAAGCAGGAGTTTGCTTGTTTTAGTTTTGCCGCTGTCTCGAAAGGCTAAATCACGTTGAGCTACGGTCTTCTTGCAGCTGCTTTTTGACATCTGTTGATCTGGCCTTCATATATTCTCGTAACATGGAGGGGGAGAATGAAAATTTTTCAAAGATAGGGAACGGTTTCGAAAAGGCTGCCTACGTATCTCACAAGGAGAATTCAGGCCCAACGTAGTTCAAGTAGAAGATAAAACATTTCCATTCATTCGTTCATTACGATTACCAGAAAATTGAAAGGAAACAATAGAGCTTTTAAAAGATGAAATGATGACAACACGTTAGTCATTTCCCTTCTTGTTGCAGCATTAGTCTTCTCCTTTTGGACGACTTAGGAATGGAGGCTTGTAGACGATTTCCTCGCCGTCGTCTTTCTCGGTCGCTTCAGGGTAAGCGTTGTCGAGACCACTATTGGCTCTTTTTTCGTAGACGGAGTATTTTGTCCATTTTCTGAAGTTTATCAATCATGTTGCTATGAAAGGCTTTGTTCTCATTCCTCAGTGCAGCCATCCTTTCTATCATGGAGGAGAATTCTTCAATTTCCACTGTCAGCTCCTCATCAAGTGAATGCTTTAGCCAACAGAGCGGCTGTCTCCGATTCTATCCTCACCTCTCTCGCTTCTCTTTCTTGCACTTTCAACCTAAGCATGTCCAAATTCTCTCGCAAGTCCTCTGTCTCCATCTCAACATCTTTCTTTCTCTTCATCTGTGATATAAGATCCTCATCCAGCGTCACGGTTGCAGCTTTGTAGATTGCGGTGGCCATGTCGACTCTAAGCCCTTCCTTCTTGGCTTCTTGAATTTCTCGAGTGATCTATTCTATCTACCTTTGTAGTTCTTAACCAGTGAGTTTCATCTGGATGTTTTTACCTTTGTCCATAGCAGTGATTTTTGCCTTCCCTGAGATGGTAGAATGAATGTTTTAGGATTTGTGGTATAGGAGGTGTCTTTTGAGTGAGAAACTTAAAACTTGGAAATTTTGTTCGGGCATTTTGTAATAGTGACTTCTGTATATTCTTTGAAAATTTCAGGATAGGAGTGGGTTTACGATATTCTCATTCATAGCAACGTAACACATAAGCAGTTAATAATACATATATTGCATCCTAATACATATAGAGGGACCCTTTTGTGCCAAGGGTAGGCCTAGCGCATTTGAATGATGTACGTGTGAATTTGAACAAAATAAACAATTCCTCCCAAAATAAATTTCACTAGTGAATAATAACGTTTACAAAGGGGAAAATAAAGGATAAAGTATTAAAGACAAACCCAGGCAGTGGCCATTTGAAAGTGCAATAAGGCAGGCCTGCGCATAGGCTAAAAAACGTAAATACATATAAAAACCCACACAGGGGCGAAGTCCACTATGCCACTCTAGATGGTCCTGCTCCGTCGTTGTTCCCCTGAGTCTTGTACTGTTGAAACATATACCTTAGCATGAGCAAGAATCCTTCTCCCAGGAGTCCTTTGTCTTCCAAGCTTTTGTATTGCATCCTCTCGATTTTTTCCTTGACCCAGGTATCGAAGTCATCATAACCACGTCTTAGTCTTTCCACCTCTCGGGTCGCCTTCTCAAGAGTATCTTGGTTCTCGACAAACTTAGTGTACACCTCTTGTGCCTCTTTGTTTACCTCTTGTAGTTCGGCCACTTTTTTGCTTCTTTGTCTGCTATGTTGCGAAAGCTACGCGGGGTTTGGGAGAAGACGCTTTGTATGTCCTTCTTCAACCATTCTTTGTAACCCTTGTCATATCAAGCATTGAATCGGTCAGGCGCGGTGGTATCTTTATCCATACGCTTAGCACTTTTCCATTCTCTGAACATTTCAGAAGCGTCGTGTACTCTATCATCTCCAATATCGTATACATAAGCTCCATAGTATGCTTCTTTGGGTACAGTTTGTCTCCTCCCGAACTATCGCAGGACTCGAAAGGGTGCATAAGGGTGAATTCCCCGAATACCTGGTAGGGGAAGCACAATTTGTCTGCGGCTCTCCACGACGACTTCTTTTGAGATGAAACGGTCAAGCATCCACATGAGATTTTCTTCTCTTAATTCGGAGAAAATTTGAGCCCATCTGCCCCTTGTTCTCCGACTGTCCATATTCGCCCAGTACAACATGTCATTCAAATCTTTAAGGGTGTTCTTGTTGTCAAGAGTATGCAGCTCCCGAGTCCCAGCACCCTTTACTAAATGACTGAGGATCTACCACTGAAGGAACAAGTTGCATCCTTGGAAGTATCGATGCCCCTCTTTGCATTTTCCCAGGGCTCGATATATATCGGACAAGATGACTGGAGCTATAGGGTAGTACTTTGTTGTCCCTTGGTTCTCATACCCTTTGAACAAAGCATGCGCGAGTGTTATAACTCGGGTATTGATACTCAGACTTGGACCATGTGGGAATACCATTGTTCCCAATAATGCTATTGCAAATGCTAATAGACGAATTTCATTCCATTCTCTTTAGGAGATCTTGAACTCTCGGTTTTTAGTGGCGTAGAAACTTGCATGTCCAAATTGGATGTAAAGTTCTCTGAATGCTATATGGGATTCTTGGCACCAGTAGGCAAAGTCTTTTCTCAATCCGAACCATTCCGCAATATTTTCTATCAAAGGCTTATTAGGAATAAAGATGTCTTCTTGTTTTCTCGCTTTCCTTTCTATCCCAGTGCCTATTGGGTCTATACAATCTCTATCACCTCCAAAGTCGGGGTAATTTCAGTGGTTCCAAATCGAAACACCATTCTTTGGTTATCCCAATATCCCGTAAGGACCTCAACCAGTTCCGGCCAACCATTCATGTTGATTAATTCCGTCACAGCACCTACATATTTGTGGAGGGTTCTTCTATGATCCCCGTCCAAATTATTATACCACATCATGAGTTGCGGTGGCGCTGATACGACCATGTCTAACTTTGGAAAATGGTCCATATCTACAAAACAGAAGCTGATTATTTTTTAACCACCCCAAACTGGTTTTCACACGTACATCATTCAAATGTCACATAAAATGATGTGTCGTGAGGTCGAAGACCTTAGACACGATTTTGACGGTTTTCTACTAAATGAACTTAATACATCTTGGGTATTAAGTTGTCTTAGGCTAATGCTTAATTTTAGTTTTGGTATCGCTCAAGCCTAGGCTTACTAGAATAGGTTTCAAGTTGACGGTTACCCGAGTCGAACAAACATCGGGGTGAAGCTACCAAAGAACGTCGGATGACCGCATTCCAACTATTTGTTTGATACTTCCAAATAAATTCTGTGTATTTCTGAAGAAAATCGTAGGATGCCACATAACTTTCATTTTCCTAATGCATACTACTTGCCAATTGGCGAAAAATATCATGAAATGCAACAATTCCAAAATTAAGGTAAAGTAAACAAGTAATCAATTATTACATATAGCCAAATGACGTTATTTTTAAGGTTAGAATCCTCCAAACTCCCCAGCGGAGTCGTTATTTCTGTTTTATTGAAAGAGGAAACACATTTATTTTGAAGAGTTTTTGACTTTTTTAGAGTCGCCACTTAATTTTGAAAAAAATTAAGAGAACCTTTATTTTCAAAAGACTTAAACTTATATAATCATATGTAATATTTAAAATGTTCGGGAATTCTTATTAACGTCTTAGGAAGGTTTTGAAAGCACCTAGGACATTCCGCTTAATTAAGGCTATCCAACAACTAACTTTATATTTGGCTAAGACTTACAATTGCGATTAAAAAAACTCAGAGTTGTTTAAAAAATGAAAGCCAAAAAATCATTTCGGATTGCGTTTGAAAGAGAAAATTATTTATCTAAGTCAATTTTAATTTGTAAAATCTTTTAGGCCTTTTACTTGATTTGATCGAGTCGTTAAAACCAAAAGTGGTATTTTGCGGGGAGTTGAATTTTCCTAACTTTTAAACTAACGACAAGTAAAAATAGACAAGTAATTAAAACCAAGTAAAGAGAGAGAAGAAAAGAGATTTGGACCCAACTCCGGGTTCTGTTAGCCTTGACCGGTTTTGGACCCACCTGTTTTGGGATTTTGACCCTCTTGTTTTGTACCTATCCTAAGTTCTAGTAAAACAATACAATAACACAAAGTAAATAAAAGGGCGACAAAGGCTTAGGCCCATTACAAATAAAAATGCAAAAACTGAAAATAAAGGGTCTTCTAATCCAACTTCTTCAATCTTTTAAACTTCGGGGTTGTCCATCGTCTTTATCCGTTGAGACGATACTTGAGATATAATGCAAGGGGGAAGGAAGAATTCATGTGGACTTGGAATTCACATGTGACAAAGAGAGATGAATGAAGTATTAGCACTTGTGGTAACTAAACCAATAAAGTAATCATACAAGCTTTCACTCTAATATAAGTTCGACTTTTAATAAAATTTCAATAAACAACAAGCTAAAACGAAACAAATCCAGCAATGATATGATATAATATTCAAACTCATGGGAATTAATATAATCTCACCATTGGAGAGCTTCAATCCACAGAGAAAACAAGAACGAAACAACGCGAGGGCTAGAGAAAGGTAACTATATTGAACAGAGAGCTCTAATGTCCATCTAACTATATTTTCAAGAGAAGTCTGCTCAAAGCTTGACAGCCTGAACTTGGGTACAACAATTATTACATAAAAAGATTTTGAGTCAGATAAAAAGGGCTCGGATGAGGAGGAACAATAATTCAAAATGAGGAGAACTTGGACCAAACAAGCATGAATGATTCAAGAAACAAGCTGCTGAACAGGGAGTCACCTTTAGACGGATTTAATTATGAGAATTAAAAAAAAAAACTAATTGGAGACAGTATGAGGAAATTTCTGAAGGGAAAAAATGGTTTCCGACTTTAAATCAAACTCATGACAACCACTATGATTCTATTACATTTAAGCATAAATATAAGACCATGATGACGAATGAGGAAACAACTAGTGAAAACTAACTATGATTGCAAAAAAAGCACAGATGAATGGCATACAGGCACACAAACAAAGTTGAATGAAATGAGATTCGGTTCCTCTTACAAGCCACTTCCAAGATTTCACGTAAACATGCAACTAAACCAAAGCCACAACCCCGAAAACATGTATCATGCTTCGAATAATCAATACACAGTTAATTTGGAACCAACAATCGGTCTGCTCACAACGATAAAACATGCTTAAGAATAAAAAGAAAAGGTGGACGACTAGTAGGCGAATAATCTGAACTTTAAGGCAAACATGAAGGTTATGAATTTAGGAAGAGCACGGCCAGCAGCGTAAGCTCAAACGATCATTAAACTATCTCAAATACGCTACAAGAACAGCAACAAATAAACTATACAGCGAACTCCAACAATAATTAAAAAATAATAAGAAGAAAGAAAAAGAAGAAAAAAAAACAACAAAAGGGAGAAATAAATAAATGAAATAAAGAAAACTTCACATTAAAATTATCAACTCATAGTGACTTTAAACCAACGGGCAAACAGGGGATACAAGCTTCTTATCGTATTATAAATCACTTTGAAATGAAAAAAAAAGAACGAGAGAGGCATGCTAAGGTGGGGATGTTACCTTTTAGGGGGCAGCAACGAGCAGCTAATGAGCAGCGAACTTCACACCAAAAGGAAAAAAAATCCACTAGCTTCGAACTCCGACGCGAACAATAAACCAAAACTGTGAATCTCCCTTGGAACCTAGACCCGTAAAAAAACGATCCTAAGAAACTATTTTCCAACCTTTCTGTGACCTTTTGATATTTCTTTTGTTTTCTTATCGGCTATTCTCCATAATTTTCTTCTTCTTTTTTTCGATGTATCTTGTGGCTCCCTTAAATAGGATGAAGAAGAAATCTTACATGGAGGCAATTAGGGTTCGAGAAAGGGGAACAACGGATCCAAAAATGAAAAGCCCAAATTCCAGTCCAAAACCTAAACCTTTCAACTCCAATCTTTGCCAAACAACCTTTCCCTGTCTTTTGAAAACAATCTGAAAATGGGAAAGGAATGGACATATGTGATGAACTTCATCGTCCTTGCTACTTGATGTGGCGTCCATCCACGCAAGCAAGGACTAGCTGCAGGTCTGGGAACACTCCTGTACGGGTAAGGTTGCAGAAAGAGCCCTTCAAAGCAGAAAGGAGAGCGAGACGTCTCACGCGCCATCGAGCTCTTGGATTGGAATCGTTCTCTTGTTGCATCAAAGGAGGCGCTTGAGATTTCTGTTTGTCACTTTGACGCGGAGAATCACTTCGGTTGTGGTTCACGCACTGATGTGCGTGTTTGGGATTGCGATGAGAAGGAACAAAGTTGAGGTCTTCTGGCAGCCTCTCGCTGTCTCCAGCTGGGTTTCCTTTTGGGAAGATACCAATTTGGGTCGGGTCTAAAGGGGAGATGGGCTGGGTCGAGGTGTTAAGGTAGAAATTAAAGATTGGGCCTGGGTCAGGGAATTCGGTTGATACTTTTGCTAAAATTGGGCAGCTGGAAACGATTCAAAAAGTCCCAAAATTTTGTCTATTTCAAAGGAGTTGGGTCTTAAGCGCCTGAAAAACCACTAGACTTGCCTGTATTTCCCCTGCTTTTAGGTATCTTTTGTCTTAAATCAACGATTTTTGTCTACTCATTTTCCCAATCGGAAATATTGATATGTGATAAATGAGACGAATGAGCTTCTCTACTTCTTGATCTATGTTGTGCAGACTCTTCAAAAATGTTGACACACACGTATCAGATCCTTCAAAAATACAGTACTTGTAGACCATCCAAAATGCACCTGTTGATGTTATTGAAGTGTTCAAGGAGCATAGCTCTTGATGAAAGAGCATTCTGCTGGAAAGCAACTCTTGGTTAAAGAAAATTAAAGATAAATCAGTAGAAAGGATTGAGCGCGTAGAATCTATCTTGCTTAAGAGCACTGAACTTTTTATTTTACATTCAAAATCGGTCAGTTGTCATACTACACTACACGGATAATGTATTCTTGAAACTAATCCTATTCTTCTGTTGCTACACAATAAAGTTAACATGTACTGCTACAAAAATAAATCAGCAGATCAGAGATCTAAAAGAGAAAAGAAGGCTTGAGAAGTTCAAATCGAATCATTAAACATTCTGCACTGACATATGTACATCCTCTTTAACAGAGAAAACCAAGGTAAACAAAGTGTATGTAATTCAGGTTTTGAAAACCAACATGGAAGGCATTCGAGTGCACCACCTTAGCGAACCAAATGCTAGGTACTACCATTGGGTGTTGTTGAATTGCTACTCCATTTTGCAGTAACCGAATCAGGTGAAACTGATGATGTGTTATTCTTCGACAAGCCTGCATCATCGTCATCAGGACCCTTGTCTGTTTTGCCTGTTTTATTCGTTCTCTGAATTCTCAGTAGAGCCTCCACAACTTCCTGCATAGATGGCCTCATATCCCCGTCGTTCTGTAGACATTGGAATGCTAATTCTGCCATTGCAGTGATCATTGACCTTATTATATCATCAGTGTCAAACCCGATATTTGAATCCACCAATTCATGTAATGCATTTCCCTGAATCTTGTTGATGGCCATATTTGACAAATTAATTTCATGTCGGTGCCTACAGATATCAACAGCAGGCAGTGATGATATAAGCTCAACTAATACCACTCCGAAACTATAAACATCACTTTTGTCAGTGAGCTGATAGCACTCGTGGTACTCAGGATCAACATATCCAGGAGTACCCTGTGGAGCTGTTGAGACATGAGTAAGATGCGTTGGGAAAAGCCGAGACAAGCCAAAATCTGCTACTTTAACACAGAAATTGTTGTCCAGAAGGATATTATTAGTTTTTACATCACGGTGGATGACGTCTGAAGCATGGAGATAGGCAAGTGCATTTGCTGTTTCTGTGGCAATTTTCATTCGTGTATTCCATGAAGGCGATCCACGCCTTGAATCTCCACCGTGTAGATGATCAGCAACTGTGCCATTGGGAATGTATTCATAAACAAGTAGAAGCTCACGGGAATGGCGAGATGTGCATCCGTAAAGAGTGACAAGATTTGGATGATGCAACCGTGTTAGGATATCAATTTCATTCATGAATTGCTCTACTCTCTTGCAGTTGTTTTCATACAAACGCTTAACAGCAACGACACGTCCATCTCGAAGTTTACCTATAAGCATATCATATTCAACCACATTTTAATGAATCAATCAGTTGAGTGACACATTTTCTGTAAGCATTTCAATTTTAGATCAGTTTACTCACCTTTATATACTGTGCCATATCCACCATCTCCAAGCTCATTCTTGGAATCAAAATTGTTAGTAGCTTCTTCGAGTTCATTATAGTCAAAGAGGTGAACTCCCATAGCTATATTAGCCTTTTCAGGATCCTTCATGGAGGAGGGATAGGAAAGAATGCTTCTGGTGATCAACGACGAACCAGCATAACTTTTTCTGTTCTGTCTACGACGATAGATAAGGAAAATTACACCTGCCATCAAAGCAGTAAATGCAGACGTACCAAAGCCTGCAAGAAGAAATGTGTGATTTCAGTGTTTTTGAGAAAAAAGAGAATAAAAACAAGGCAAATCCAGGTAAACAAATTTGAAGGACAATCACCTATGCCAATCTTTAATCCGATTTTCCTTCCTCCTGAAATGAAAACATGACAGGTGATCAACTGATACCGAACAATTGTAATGTATCTCAGAAAAGCAAAACTAATAACTAATTAGCTGCTATCACCTTAATCAGAAACCTTACCCCTTTAACATGATCAATACATAACAGAATAATTTGCCTTTTTTATCTAGGAATTAAGGAGATATTATCTGCTCGATAACTGGATAACAGTTTCAAGATTTACCACGAAAGCATGTTTTCGGTTGGGTTTGGTCATTGCAAATGCAGAGAAATTCATTACTTTGAGCACCACAACGCCCTCCACTATTCCGACAATTTCTACAATTACTCCCATCCCACTGCAGAAAGAATCCCTTTTGTAATACTTGTGTGTAATTCATTTCTAGCAACCTATCTATGGAATCAGTCTCAACAAGGGCATAAACAGGATCCTGACACGATTCGACTGAATAGTTATAGTGCTCCAAAAGCTCAGTATGAAAAACCGCGAAAGAATGGTGAGTGGCATTACGGGCACAATTGACATCATATGTCTCCCTTTCATAAGGTAGAGTGCAGTCATAGAAGAAAAAGAGATCTGCAGTGTTAGGCCCCAAAGAAAATGGAGTACCCCTTGTGCTAAAATTATGTCTTGGTACTGGACATTTGTTTTCTTTATCAAACACATCTGCTTTTGCTAGCAGAATCGAGTAGTTTGTGTAATATACTTCCTTAATGATAAACTCCTCTTGAGAAATATGAACAAATGGTTTATGTTTGTTGCAAGTGACATTATAAGCTGGTAAGCCACAGTAGGATGGCTGTTTCTCAGGAATCCAAAAGGGGTATGATATGTTCACTCCATCACCACAACTCTGCGTAACGCAAGCACTAGAATTAAGGTATATACAAAGAGTGTCATCTGTTAAGGTGAAGAACAGAATCGCGACGGCAAGAACAGAAACAGATTTCTTTACCATGAATAGGTTTTGAAGATTCATATGATGTCTAAACCAAGAAGAAAAGACAAAAGGGAAAATTTGTAAATAGAGGAAAGGTTTGGTATCATAGTTGTATACAATTTGTGTAATTCATTCATTTATATAAGTTAAAATAATTGAGAGTTTGACAAAGTTGCCAAAGGAAAGTAAAGACAAGTTAAGTTTCAAAACTTGAAGCAACTATAAAGAAAAAGTGGTTGTCATTTTGTACATTTTATCATTGACTTGACTCCTAGTCCTCCAATAGAATGATCCAATTTGAGTTGTTGTTACACTGCATTTTTGTCAAATCTTTAAGGCCAAGTAATCCATCATTTGTGATGTGATCGCACGTACTCCTCAAATTAAAGTTGATTAGTCAGAATAACTACTTTTGTTTTTCGATAGGACTATTTACTTTCAAAGTACAATTTCTCGGCACGAACATAGACTAATCTTAGTGGAGCCCTTTTAGTCATAGATCAATTACATTGGGTTCGGCTATACGAATCATTATATTCATTTGGCTCCACTTTTCTCTAATTTATCCTTTTAAATCACCTATATTAAGTACTAAATGAAGTGGAAGAAAGCTTAAAATCTTGTAAACCAAAACATACCAAAAATACATTTTTATGTTATAAACGAAAATTTATATATTAATACTAAGAATAGAAAAGCCCAAATCGTGAAGTCAGCTGAAAATATGATAGAAAATGCAAGAAATTCAGGTTAGAATAATTGCATTATGTAAAAGCAAAAATCTTAAAAAAAACAAAAGTAGGACGCAAGTGTTATGGTAAGATGACGTCAAAGCCAACTACAACCTTTAAGTAAGTCAAGATATATAGTGTGAATAGAATATTTTTTTCATGGATCTTGAAAATTAAAACAAACTGGTTAATTTTCTAATACTATTACTTAATGTTTGGTAAGTAAATAAAAATATTATTACTATATATGAAAAGCGTTTTATACGTAATTTAACAAAGTACTATAAAGTGAGAGGGGTGGGGAAGGGGGTCTCACGCAGGGGCAGAGGCAGTGTATACTGAGGGGGCTTCCGAACCCCCTCCGTGAAAAATATTAATATATATATATATATATGATTAAAATTATTTTTTAGATATATATAATAGATGTCAAACCCTTTTCTAATCGTATGTTTATTTCTAAGATTTTAAACCCTTCATTAAAAATTTTGATTCTGTCATTGATTACACGGATAGATGGTCAAGGAATAGGAGTTGGGAGCGTTGTGTAGGTGGAGACAATACAACAAACTTAAAATATCACATATAAAACTCAGTTTTCCTATACTTTCATCAAGAAAATCATTTTTCTCATTTTTCGAGAGAAATTTTTTTTTAAAAATTTTACCCAACAAAACATGAAAAAATAAAAAAAATATTTTCCTTTCTTACAAGAAAAGGAAGTTTGGAAATTTGAGATTTTAGCAATGTGGGGATAAAAGGATTGAGTTTAGATTGAGTGTAGGACCAATTAAGTTTCTAAGTTGGAGTTGGTTGAACCGAAAGTGAAGAAAAGAAGGGGAAAAAAGAGTACTCGAGTTTATTATATTTTGTCACGATGTTCACAGTTGCTTTAAAAACTCACTACCTAATGGAAATCGAAGAGTTGAGATTATAAAAAGTCATTCAGGTGTGAAAAATTTATCTAGTAATGTTATTAAATTTTATTTTGTATTAATAAAATTATTGTCCTTTTATTTTTCAAAATTACTTGATAAAATTTAGCATTAAGAAAATCATACATAATAAAATAAATTATTTTGCACATGTAAAATATGCACCTTATGAATAAATAAAATCAAAGAAAATTAGTGTAAGTATACCACCGACATGTCTAACCTATAGTCTAAAAGTAATAGACAAAATAATAATGGAGGGATCTTTTCTCCAAATATTAATGGCTCCAATTTGATTTAAATGCATCCATTAATTTTTACCCTTAAGTTTCTACATTGATTCCTCCATCTTTTCCATTCAATGGCTTTCTCATGTTTTTAGTATTTTGGCTTTACGGATTCAGACATATTAACAATAAGAACACTCATTCAAATCCCATGATAAGAAGAGATTTGTAATTCTAGAAAATTTTATCACAATAATATTTAGTTGTTGTCTTTTATATGTATGTTGCCTAGAATGGCATCTGTCTAAATGAAATTTTAGATTCTCTTTATTGTATATAAATGTGTATATAGTCCGAAGAAAATAAGAAAAGAATGATAGATTTTTTTTTAATGTAAGACCCTGTTACCGTTGGTTTTAAGAAATTAATTTTTATAAAGTAATTTTAAATTAAAAAAAAAAGTAGGAGAGTTCTACTTTTGACTTTTTACTTATTTTAAGTCATTTTATAGTTATTTTTTATTTTTTATACACTCTCAAAAGTTAAAAATGACTTGCAAGTATAACTAATCAACTTTTAAGTCAATCCAAACACTCTAAATTTGTTATTTTATTCAACATGACAACAAAACTTTTTCGAAGCAACAACCATTATTCGTTTCATTCTTGTTCAATGAATCCTTTTCTTTTTCTTTTCCAATGAATTAATCAAACATAAATCCAGTGCTTTAAGTTATTTATATTATCCAATCAAATAACCTTGTACCGCAATTCTAAGTCTAATGGGACAATTTTAATTTTTTACACTAATATATTTTTTGACGAAACGAATTATCCTTTATGATCACAACTAATGTGAAGACTCATATTGCAACAAGGAACACAGCTAAATATGTTATTAGCGAAGTGGTCAAATCATCACCAACTGATCCAACGTATGACACATCGAAAATCACAAAGTTTGAAGTTGGTTTAGTGATTCAATGATCCTGCATCTAATGCGAGATTCAATCACTGGCAACAAGTAAGGAAATATGGGAAGTTACTTCAAAAAATTTCTATAATGAATCGGATGAGGATCATTTATATGTTGGTCTTTTTCATTCTTTTAATCCTTATACTATGTCGTTTTAGTATATTCTATGTGAGATTGGAAAAGGATCAAATATGCCCCTAAACTATTTGAAAAGGTTTAGATATACCCCATTTAAAATTTGGTTCACTCATGCCCTCGCCGTCCAACTTGTGGTTCAAATATGCCCTTATGGGCGTTAGTAGTCATGTTGGACATTTCCAACTTCTTTTTCATTTCTTTAAATGTCACGTGGAATTGTCATGTCATTTTGTCCTTACTACATAACATTTATATGAAAATGGAAAGATATTTCGACTCATAAACACCTAATCCGACCCATAAATCAACTCCTTTTAAATTCACTAACCGGCCCTTTTTTAACAATTTTATTTAATTTTTATTTTTGCGGTAAATCTCGAAAATGAGTAATTGATTAATAAAAAATAGAAAAAATATATAAAAATATAAAATTAACGCCAAAAATTCACAAATAAATATATTAACCTTAAAAATCTAACATTTCAATTTCTTTTAGATTTTTTATTTTTTCGATAAATCTCGAAAATGAGTAATTAACTAATAAAAAATATGAAAAGTATGAAAAAAATATAAATTAACGCCAAAAGTTCACAAATAAATATAGTAACATTTCAATCTACAATTTTTTTAAATTTGTTATAATTTTTGGCAAATTCCGAAAATGAGTAATTTATTAATAAAAAGAAAAAAATATGAAAACAAAATAAAATATTTACGTCAAAATTCACAAATAAATATAGTGACTTAAATTTTTTTTATTTTATATTTTTTTCATATTCCTATTTTTATTTGTGAATTTTTTGCTTATTTTTAATATTTTTTGTTAATAAACTCATTTTTGGGATTTTTCAAAAAAAAATAAATATTAAAAAAATATTAAAATTGTTGAATTTAAGGTTACTGTATATATTTTATAATTTTTGGCGTTAATTTTATAATTTTTTTCATACTTTTTATTAATCAATTACTCATTTCGGGATTTATCAAAAAAAATAAAAATAAAAAAAATGTTTAAATTGATTTTAAGTTTACTATAATTATTTGTGAAATTTTGGCTTTAATTTTATACTTTTTTCATATTTTTCTACTTTTATTAATGAATTACTCATTTTCGGAATTAATCAAAAAAATAAAAATTAAACAAAATTATTGAAAATTGATCGGATATCTTATTTAAAAGGGGGTTGATTTATGGGTCGGATTAGATGTTCATGAGTCCGAATATCTTTTCATTTTCATATAAATGTTATGTGGTAAGGTCAAAATGACATGACACATGTAACATTTAAAGAAAAGAAAAATGAGTTGGATATGTCCAACATGACAACTAACGCCCATAAGGGCATATTTGGACCAAAAGTTGGATGGCAAGGGCATCAGTGAACCAAACTTTAAACGGAGGTATATCTAGACTTTTTCGAATAGTTTAGGGGCATATTTGACCCTTTTCCCATGTGAGATTAAATAAAAATCAGTCGACAAAAGGCTCTCTTCTCACACATAACTCCTAGAATCTAAAATCAATATATTTAGGGTGTGTTTGGTATGGATGAAAATGTTTTCCTAAAAAATGTTTTCCTGGAAAACAAGTAGAAAATATTTTCCCGAAATGATTTTTAGTGTTTGACTTATGAATGGAAAATGTTTTTGAGAGACATCTTTTATTTTTACTAGAGTAAAAAATAATTTATGACATTGAAAATATTTTTTTAAATTCAAAATAATTATTTTTTAAGGGTGGTGGTGAGGGGTGGGGTGGGGCAGTGTGGGGGGGGGGGAGAGTAAAAAATAAAAATTGAAGTTGATAGTATTTTTAAAAACAAAATTAATTTTTTGGAGGATTGGGATGGGTGGGGGAGGGGTAGGAGTTTAAAAACAAAATTTGAAGTTGAAAA